ACCAGAGAGGAGTGATGATTGGTTAACGCAGGGTAACATTTCAGGGTAAGCCAATCAGAGACAGAGTTGGGCGGGTCTTGCCTTATGGGGAAAATACAGACACACAAACACTTGCTAACACATACACGGCAACGCTCACCACCAGCACACACACACACACACACACACACACACACACACACACACACACACACTATGGCAGATGCAAGTATCAGCGAGAGCAGCAGCGCATTTACAACTTGGAGATATAACCACTATTTTCAATTTGTGGGGATAAAGGACGCACAAAATATTATGGTCAAATGTAAACTGTGTGCAGGACAAAAAGCATTGTCCACATCGAATAACAGCAATGCCAATCTCCTGAAGCACCTAACTAATGTACATGAGGCTATAAAACTAGTCGCCAAAGACCCCACCGTCTCAACCACCGGCAGTGACCCACATGGAGCAACACCATCTAAACAGCCACGATTTTTTTAAAATCGCCACATGTCACCCAGAGTCAACTAAACAGATTGATTGCTGAAAATAGTTTGTTTGTCTTCAGTGTCAGTCTGACAGTTTATTATTTATCTAATTGTTACTGCCAAAAGAGTGTAGTTCTTGTTTAATTGTTACACTGCCAAAATAGTGTAGTTGTTGTTAATGTGTACACTGTGGTGATTGACATTATTCACCCACGGATATATGGGTTGGGGTATTGTTCTGCACGGACATTTTAGTGAACCGGACTTCCTGTTTCCGCCGGTCTTCGCTTCCCGGGAATGAAGTTGTTCACAATGGTTTTCAGATGCTAAATAAAAGTCTAGCTTGTACCTTTGATACCCCGCCTCCGACTCCCGTCTCTCGGCACAACAACACTGCCAAAAGAGTGTAGTTGTTTTTATTTCATATTGCACTACTTAGAACTTGATTGTTGAGGCTACAATAAAGATGCCTGCTTTATTGTTATTGCACAGATTACAGGTACTGAGACAACGAAATGCAGTTTAGCTTCTAACGGTGCAACAAGCAGTAAAGTGAAAAGTAATGTACACAATCTACAGAATCAAATATAGAATGAATTGAATGATGAATAAACAGTGAGCTTGGGTATGAATACACTAGCAGCCTGTGAGCAGTATTAACAGTGTGTATGAATATGCTAAGATATATAAAGTATGAAAACGGTAAGCAGTGCAAGTATAGTATAAAATATATGGATATTAATTTCATGAAAACATTGTGGAACAATGATGAAAAATGTGAATGGAAGTGGCGACGTAAAACTGACATAAAAAAAAAAAAAAATCAAATGTCTTTTGAGAAGCCCCCACCCCCCATGTTGCCTATGCTGTTTGCTGCAAACTCTTTGTTTAAAACTAATTGGCCATCGGAATGTGTGGAGTAAGTCTCCCAAGGGGGGTGGTCATATTCCACAGCTCTCCCCCCCCGCTCCTGTGATCTCCCAACCCCCAGTCTGTAGGTTTGTGTTCGCATATTTCAGTGTTAATTTTGGCAGCTGTTTTTGATTTAGTCTTAAGACGAAAATGGTTATTAGTTTTAGTCACATTTTAGTCATTCCTATCCTTCGTAGTTTTAGTCGACGAAAACTCAAAACGTGTTAAGTCAACTTTTAGTCAATGAAAAATGACATTTTAGTCAACTTTTAGTCAAAATGTGTCTCTATAGTCTCTGAATGCTCCGTCCCCGGCAGATCTCTGTGTCCGCTGCAGCATGTCTGTTAGGCCCCGCCCCCCGCACACAGAGAGACACAGAGAGATCGCTCTTCTGGAGTGAAGAGAGCGGAAATAATGATATTGCAAGTTAGAAACGTAAGATGCATTTTGACAGACAAGATGGACACTTGGGGGAAAATATGCAGCATTTTGAATGTCCGATAGTCCACCATTAAGACCTTAGTCCCGTCTCGTCAACGAAAACTAATTATACATTTCGTCATAGTTTTCGTTATCAAGAATCTATTTTTAGCTCGTCATCGTCTCGTCTTAGTCATGTAAAAAAGGTTGTTGACGAACATTTTTCGTCATAGTTTTCGTTGACGAAATTAACACTGGCATATTTAAACTGTCACTTTCTGTTGTTTCTATCGCGCATTGCCGGAATGAAAGGGTCTGTGCCGGAAACATAAAACATTTAATAAAAGTGAAAAACAATGAACAAGACTTAACGTATTCATCATAATTAATTATATTTATTCCGTTTGGATGTAGGATTTTTGACTTTGTTTAGAGCAGTGATCTTCTCTGCAGCGGAGAGCTAAGCGCTGTCAGACCGGACCTAACCCTCAAAAGTATTATCATCTGAAATTAAACATTATGTTATTAATATTAAATACATAAGTATTTTTACAACTTGTATTTAGAAATACTCTGTTGTAATTATTGATGCATAAATGTGTTCATCCATTCAATGTGACATCTGCTATAATGGGGTTAATGTATGATATTACTTAATAATACAATACATTATAATATATGATAATTACATTTTAGTTTTATTAATTTCTTATTACATAGTTTCTCATTATTATTATTTTTATCGCTCATCTTATTTTTGATTTTATTAATCTGTGTGAATCTGTGCCATCCTGTTTTTAACTCTCACCCTGTTGCTGTTTGAACTACTGAATTTCCCCACGGGATTAATAAAGGTCCATCTTATCTTATCTTAATGTATAAGTTGATTTACTTCAATCTACTGTACTGTGTAAAAACACCCCAACAATATTACAAAAAATATACTGCATAAAGCAAACTATATACTTTATTTGATCTAAAATATTGATGTTTTTTCATTATAGTAGCTTGTGAAAACCATAACAAATAAGTGATTAAATGCTACAGTATTCAACAAACACAACTGCAGAGCTGCAAACATTGCAAACAGACTAAGTTCTACAACACCCAGTTGTCTTTGTGTATTTGTGAATGAAGCGCCATCTTATGGTTAAATCCTGTAATTGAACAAATGGGAACATTTGGCAACGCCCTCTAGCAATTTGGCAACACCCCCAGCTACTGGGATCCGCTGGGCTTTTGACTGGGACACACCCATGTGAGTCCTATCTGGAGTGCTACATCTGTATCTAAACACTCAGAGTCCTTTACCTCACTGAGCTGTAGTCATCAGCCTCTCAGTCTGACTGGAGAGGACTCTCCCTCCACATTATTGTAGAAACATCTTCTTATATCTGTTAGAGCAGCTAGCACCAGATGCTAATAACAACACCGGGCGGTGCGCCCTTCTCTCTCTCACTCTCTCCCTCGCTCACTCGCATTTTGGCTGTGAGCTGCGAGCGCCAGATAAGCCAACATCCCCCATTTTCATCACTTACAGCGCCCATCGTACAGGGCAAATGAAACATGTAACCAGGGTGAAAAAGATGTTACATTTACTTAATTATGAATATTGTTACATCAAGGCCGAAAATTAGGATGAGCCACAACGGTCAAAAATGTTTTTTTCCCTCCCAGAACTGTCAGCGCAGCGCCTCCACAGATCTGGCGCCCTATAGGCGAACCTCTATTACGCCAGTGCTACGGGCCGACCCTGAGTTCATATGCAACTCGCAAATATCTTTCTCTCTCTTTCTCTCCTCTCCCTTCTCTCTCTCCCTCTCCCTCTCTCAATTTTGGTACGCAAATGCGCCTTTTTTCAAATGACCCGGTGCTCTTTTTTTGGCGGAGGTGCGCATGCGCACCAGTTATGTGCAGCCCTGGTAATAAGGGTGTTATGAGTGAGTTTCTGTGCAGTAATGCGTTAGCATTTTCCCGCTCGTGGCTAATTCAGAGGCAGAGCGTTAGCTTTGTGTTTAAATAAAAATTAAAAAAAAAGATCAGTTAGCTGAGTTTCTTCCCGTCACATGGATATAAAACATTCATAGTTTATTGAATATTAAGATGCCCTCAGACGCTGTTTCCTGCAGATGACGCATTTTGGGGGGGGGGGGGGTGTGTAGAACAGGTTAAGTGTAATTTGGCTTCCTATTTTGTATGGACATACTTTTATTTTGAAGGAGAGTTAGCGCTGTTGACAGGAAATTGTTGTTGCTATGGAAACAATGTGATGGAGATTAACGGAGAAAAGTCATATCTACATATAAAGATGGAGAAAGTAAACGATAAAGTGTATGGTTAAGTGTTAGTACCCCCCGAAGAGGCACTAGCTCTTTCGTTGATATTGGAGCTTTCAATAAATTAAAAAATACGAATAACGAAATTGAAACCCGAATAGTACTCCAACGAACAAATATTCGGATATTCGGGTACAGCCCTAGTACAACTTCAGATAAAAATGAACACATAATTAAATATGACCCCTGGTTTGATGATTGACAGGTCACAGAACAATGGGAGCCATCTACCCTTACCCACAATTTAAAGTAATTCACACAGACTATCTCCTCTTTACTCTTCTTCTTCGTTTGTTTTTCACTTAGTTCAGCTGTCAGAACTAAGTGAAAAACAAACAATGGCATAACATATTATTAATATGTCGGGTAGTAATAGATTTATTTATTTTCTTCTCAGAGTGTACCAGAATGCGTAGTTTATATGTTAGTATTTCTAAAATCTCCTCCAGACCCCCATCTGGGGTTGGGTTTTCAGCATGTGTGCCTTTTTATGTTATACAGTTCAGCTTTGATTCCATCATCTCATTAAACCTTTTTTTAAAGCATTCTTTAGTTCTGTGAAGGGATATAAGGGATATATGTACTTTACTTTAATCAATAATGTATGCTGAAAAGCGTATATATTACTGCACAATTTTCTGTTGAATAGATTTGAGTGGTTCAAATTTTCGGGTCGCGATTTATTGACAAAGGAAAAAGTGGGTCACGAGGCCTGACCAGTTGAGAACCACTGCTCTAGGGGAAATGTGTTTTTAATATTGTTTGTTTGAAAGCCAACAAACTGTCTTCTTTAATAAACTGGTCCACAACAGTATTGATGTGTAAGAAGTGTGAATTATAATTATAATTAGTGGGTTAAAACCTGGTTGTTACAGTTTCCGATGATGAGTGCATCTGCAAGCACAAGCTGCCCCACCACCATGCCTTGCTCCAGCGGGGGCACACTGCCCTCCTGCAGACGGTTGCTGTTGACAACCACAGAACTGTTGTCGTTCAGAACTACCACTGGATCTGCCTGTTTGGTAAAAACAGAGAAAAACAACAATGACCCACAACAGACAACTCACTCCTGCCAGATGAAATGTTGCATTAATGTGTTACCATCAGTAACACACCATCAGTCTTGCTCTGTAACAGGTTAAACAGTTATGAGATATTAAGATATGCTAAATACAGAATTAAAGAAACCTTAGGAAAATCTAATCAAACATGGATGATAAAATAGACAACATTGACAGTTTCATTTGGAGGTCAGTTACCTCTACAAAAGCTGCCACTTCCTGTAGAACCAGGTTCCATTCCAGCTGGTCCTCTGTGTTAAACCTCTGTGTGTAATCTTCAATTTCCTCAGATAACTCCTGCAGGTAGCAAACACACATACATTTAAAAGACTGTCATGAACAGCTACAAACACAAACACTTATTTTATAGTTTTAAAGTTGGACTTCTGCTTGACTCACAAAGTAAGATCTAGTACAGGTTTCATATGGCAGTCTCACTCGCCCAGTATTCTAAATGTCTTAAGTGGAGCCTGCAATCAGAGTTTGGTTTGTGAAGCCAGTGTATTTGTTTTGATGTCTGACTAAGAGAAACACTCCACACATTCTCTCTTTTCTATGAACAACAGACGTTTGGTTTGATCCACTTGGCAGAATGAGCTGCTCATGCTGGGTTATAATGAGGAGGGAGGGGGGTTTAATGGGTGAGGAGTTTCTAGTGTCACATGAGGAAGAGAAGGACAATTCTTACTTAATTACCCAAATGCAATCTGTCAGTTCTGTCCTAGCCCCAGCCCTTAGCTTAAAGTTAGCATGGACCTCTACAGCATTGGCAAATGTAATGGCCCCCTCCACAGCAAAGGACCCCCAGTCCCATTGATGGGGAAAGATAATTCCCCAATCTTAGCAAGTACTTTCAGTGTTTCCTTAGCTTTTTTGCCAAGTGGATACAACTTGTCCCCCCCACTGCCACTTCCAACATGGCTAGATAAATCTATTTTGGCCTCTGACTTCTACTTAAATGGTTATAGTGTATATCGTACCGACCGTACTAAAAAAGGTGGTGGCGTTGCCATTTATGTGAAAAATAAGTTTTGTGTAACCAAGATGGTTTCCAAATCTATTAATAAACAACTAGAATTTTTAGCTTTAAATATTGAAGTAGCAAAGGGGCAACAGGTCATGGTGGTGGGCTGCTACAGACCCCCCTCAGCTGTCAAGGACTCTTTATCTTCTTTGGCAAAACTTTTATCTCAACTAGAGTACAAGGAAATAGTACTGCTTGGTGATTTTAACTGGGACTGGTTAACTGCAGTGTCAGAGGATTTTAAAAACCTTTGTATCTCCTTGAATGTTACTCAGATTGTTGACAGTCCTACTCGCCCTAACATTAAGTCCCCAAATAAATCCTCCCTAATTGATCTCATTTTAACTAATGTTCCCCATAAATATTCATCTGTGGGAGTATTTGCGAATGATCTGAGTGATCACTGTGTTGTAGCCACAATTAGGGACACTAAGGTCCAGAAGGTTAAACCTCGCATTATCATTAAGAGAGACAAAAAACACTTTGTGGAGCAGGGTTTTGTTCATGATCTGTTTGATTTTGATTGGGGTAAAATCGATCTGTGTCCTGATGTAGAAACTGCATGGTCTTATTTGTATCTTGGTTTTATGGAAATTATAGATAGACATGCACCCCTGCGTACTTTTAGAGTGAAGGGACGAGACAATCCTTGGTTTTCTGCTGAGCTGTCCAGTCTCCTTCATGAGAGAAACAAGGCCTGGGCAAAGGCTAGGAAATCAAGCTCAGAGGTAGAATGGCTGCGTTTTAGGCAGCTAAGGAATAGCTTCACATCGCAAATCAAAAGTGCTAAATCAAAGTACTATCTGTCAGTAACCACAAAGAATCTGAATAATCCTGGAACATTTTGGAAAGCCATAAAATCGATATCCACCGGTGATATCCGTAATGAGCTACCTCCGTGCCTTACCACAGCATCTGGCTCTATATCGGACAGGGCTACTATGCTAAATTGTTTTAATGAGCATTTTGTGTCTTGTGGCTCTCTGTTTGATTCTGTCACTAACTCTGCTTCTGTGAACACCACAGTCGGTGACTCTGAAAAAGGTGTTTTGGAAAACCCTTTCAGTTTTACTCCTTTTACTGTTGATGTTGTTCGTGAAGCTTTAACCAAGTTAGATCCTAAGAAACCGGCTGGCCCGGACAACGTAGAACCTTTCTTTTTAAAGATAGCTGCAGATGTTATTGCTCCACCTCTCACTACTCTTTTTAACCTCTCCCTCAGCACAAATGCAATTCCAAAAGTATGGAAGTCAGCTTATGTCCTGCCTTTGCTAAAAGGAGGGGAGGCAACTATTTTAAATAACTATAGGCCCATCTCAAAATTATCAGTTCTGGCTAAGGTGCTCGGACGCCTAGTGAGTGAACAGGTAAAGGAGTTTTTATGTACAAATGACATCCTGTCTAAACATCAGTCAGGCTTTAGAAAGCAACACAGCACCATCACTGCCACAATGAAAGTGGTGAATGATGTGGCGAGTATTTTAGACAATAAGCAGATTTGTGCAGCTCTATTTATTGACTTGTCCAAAGCGTTTGATACCGTCGATCATCGCATCTTAAAGCAGAGGCTACTCAGTATCGGTATATCCAGCCATGCAGTGGGGTGGTTTGTGAACTACCTCTCTGAAAGGTCCCAATGTGTTCAGTTTGATGGGCTGTCTTCTGAGTGGTTAAACATTGCTAATGGTGTTCCTCAAGGCTCTGTTTTAGGTCCACTTTTATTCTTCATATATATCAACAGTTTAGGTGAAAATGTGGATGAAGCTACTTTACATTTTTATGCGGACGATACCGTTATGTACTGTGCAGGTCCCTCCATTCAGGAGGCTGGTGTGAAATTACAGGCTGTTTTTAACATTATTCAGACTCAGCTCTCTGAACTAAAGCTTCTTTTAAATGTTGAGAAAACCAAGGTAATGCTCTTTTCAAAAGCTAAAAAGACACCAGAGCCTGTTTTAGATATTGTAACGACGCAAGGAATAAAACTTGAAGTGGTTACCTGTTACAAATACCTTGGTATCTGGCTTGATGATTGTCTCACTTTTAAACTTCATGTCAATAACCTGCTTGAAAAGCTGAGGGTTAGGCTAGGTTTCTTCTACAGGAACAAGTCCTGTTTCTCGCTTGAGGCCAGGAAAAGGCTAGTCACTGTGACCTTTTGACCTGTGCTGGACTATGGTGATTTGATCTATATGAATGCACCTGCCCATTGCCTGGTCAAGTTAGATGCTGCGTATCACAGCGCGCTAAGATTTGTGACAAACTGTAAAGCATTAACCCATCACTGTACCCTGTATGCAAGGGCTGGTTTGCTTTCACTAACTGTACGGAGGCTCAGTCACTGGTACATTTGTATATACAAAGCCATGTTAGGGAAACTTCCATCCTACATCTGCTCCCTGATCTCACGGCGAATTGTAAGTGGCTACTGCCTGAGATCGCATGCTGTGGTTTTATTAAATGTGCCAACTGCTAGGACTGTCTTAGGGAAGACAGCTTTTAGATGTGCAGCTCCTCTGTCTTGGAATAGTCTGTGCTACTCTATCGGAAGCTATTGGTACCTGTAAAAGTGGATAGTTATGTAAATTGTAATCCCTGTGATGATGATGTAAGATGTCCTTTTGTTGTTCTGTTAATGTTTTTATGTTTCATGTGGAACCTACTTGAGCAGGTCTCCCTTGTAAAAGAGTTCAATGGGATTTATCTGGATAAATAAAGGTTTGAAATGAAATGAACACACACAGTTGAAAGTGGAGATAAAGACCACTGGCCCTACCTACCTATTAACAGAGCACACACACACACACCTGGAACAGCTCACTTCAACCCTGAAGGAAATCAGGACCCTCTCAATAAAACCTGCTCTCCTCTCCTGCACCACAGCAGGCTACTGCTCTTTACAGCAGCCTGGTAGACCCCCCACAGCAGCCTGGTAGACCCCCCACAGCAAGAGAACAACTAGAAATGACCAAACTGCACCATGTTCTTTCTTCTGTGTGTGTTTCATTCCTTTCTTTTCTGTTATTTGTTAGTATTACTGATGTTTGTTGCAACTGCACTCGTATCCCATGTGGTAAATGATTGTGTGTGATTTGTTCCATTTACTTTCTAACATCCTTTTGGCTGTCCATATCCCATAGTGAGACATTGAAAGGAATGATTTGAATGATGAATGATATCAAAAGATGCAGGAATGTGTCCATGCTCCTCAGGGGTTTTCATCACTTAGCATGCTATAGTTAAGGGAAACTGTATGACATACCTTAACCAAAACTTTGACTAGGTCCATCTTGTTCAGCAGTAGACAGACGACTATGTAGCGAGCATAATATCGAAGCTTCTTCACTACTAACTCCGGCCTGAGGGAAGATAAGTCAATATTACATTTAGATCTCAGACAAACCCACGTTAAAGAACACCAACATTTGTATTTCTTCGTTGACACTTTCTGACGTCTGAAGATTACAAATAGTTGTTTTCCGGCACAAACCTGATCATCTTAGTTTGCCATAAATATATGATTTAATCATCAACAAACCCCAAGAGCACACACAAGAGAGTATGTTTTGAATCACAAAAACAGTCAACTTTCAAACAACACATGTCCAAGCTGTTTACTGTAAACTAGGCAAAGACTTATCTACTTCCTGATATTGAGACTCACAGCATTTTAAGTATATATTGTTATACATATTAAATAAATATTGTAAAAATGTACCTGTCTTCTTTGTTGACCTGGAAGTAGTAGGAGCGCTGGCGGATGGCTGAGTAGAAGGAAAAGGCCTCGTTCAGGTAACTCGTTTCTGAGGTACGAAGGCTGTCAATCAACATCAGAAAGGTGGATTACTATCTCTGTGTAGCACTCCCATTTCAAATACATTCATTACATTGCAATCACTCTCAGCGGAGTGTTTTTTCTACCACACCCTCTTCACTAAGCACTAAGCAGTGGTGGTGTTAGAGCAGTGTTTCTCAAACTTTTTCATACCAGGGACCACTTAACCAATAAAAAAACACTCGCGGACCACCTAACTCCACAAATATCCAAAAACACATCGTTTTTCTAGAACAGATTACAAATCACCTGGAAATTGTACAAACAGTTGGCAACATGTGTGACGAAGGTGTTGCGCTGGGCTATATTATGCAATCGAAAGTGAAACTTAAGCTCACTCCATTGCAGAGATATTCCCGCGAGAGTGCGGAAAACTTATTTATTTCAAATGTTACCAATATACTCACGGACCACTAGGGGGCACTCACGGACCACCAGTGGTCCGCGGACCACACTTTGAGAAGCACTGTGTTAGAGGATCTGAAACTAAATGAAATATGAATAGTGAATATGCCAATAATGTGTCATCAGAGCAGCGCTGTATTGTGCAAGAAATGAAGAGGGAATGGTTTTTACTGAAGTGATGTCCCTAAAGTAAAGCTAATAGACCCTGTAAATGCAACATGACAATTACAAAGACAATAGAGAGTATATTAGGCATGTTTTATATTTACTGTCACTTACAACAGAAGATGACTTTGGAAAATGATCTTCTCCGACTGCCTCTCAGTTCAAACAACTAGTGACCAGTTCAAGTTCCAAAACTCGCCCCTTACAATCTCTGATAACCTTTACGACTCAGTGAGTTGGCCATGATGATATGCTGAAGAGAAATCATTGTTTATACATTACATTTAGGTTAATATGTCAGAAAAGTGGACAGAACATGCAGGGTCGGCCCCCCCCAAATGAATCACTGTCCCCCCCCAACGCAGGGCGGGCAAGCCTTGCCACTTTTTCTTTCTTTTTTTAAATCATATAAGTGAAAACGTTTCCACTAAAAGCAGTGTGAAATAAATCAGAAATAAAGAATACAAATATAAAACACAGCCTGAGGTGTGCTCACTGCTGCTCTCTGATTGGTGTGTTGCTTGACCAATGACCCCCGACCTTTGTTTTGTTATCATTACGTGGCTGTGTCTTTAGACAGGGTTGCCAACTCTCACGCATCTGGCGTGTGACACACGCTTTCACTCTCAATCTCACGCTCTCACGCTGCCCAAACTATTCTCACGCCAAAAACAAGATGAACCGGTGATCGTTTTTGGTTGGTTATTTACAATGTTGAGTTGACTGACAGCTGCTCAAGCTGTCGATCCGCCCCCACCACTCTTAACAACGTTAACAGACAGCAGAGCAGTGGGAGCCGGTTGGTCAATCCCCGACCCGTATTGCGCATGCGCAGATCTAAGATCCAGTAGAAATGATAAAAAGTAAAAGCCTGCTGCTTATTGTTCTACTCGGCCAAAATAGAGTCAAAGAGTATATGAGCGTGAGAGTGTGTTAATTAATATATTTGGCAGTTTGGAGTGAGTCTGTAGATTTGTTTGTGTGTGTTTCATGTATAGGCCTCTCACGATAATTAATTTTGTTGGATACATTTTCCCAGAAATTATTGCGATAAACGATAATATTGTCGGCATCGTTGTATGACCATTTTAGACCACTGACATAATGATAATATATAATAATAATTCAAGTACATCCTTTCAAACTGCTAGTCACATCCTCATGTAAATGGCAATTTATCGAGGTCAGAAAAGTTATCGAGTTCATTTTTATTGATCGTACGATAAGTCAATGAATTGCTTATCAGGCACACAATAAAACAGTGGAAACAAACATGTGTTTGACTTTCATTAGTGAATGAAAATGTGTGCCCTTTATAGTCTGTGTCCAATATTGTGTATTTGTATATATATATATCCTATATATATGCTAAGGTCCCGCTGCTGCCACGATAGCAGTCATTTAGTGCGCATATGTGTAATTAAACCCATGATATCAAAATCTCACTCCAGCCAGGTACCCAAAGTTGGCAACCCTGCTTTAGATGAAAGCCCAGTGGCGATCTGTTCATCTGTTACACTGATTACAGTAAAGCCGTCGAAAATAATATGATATAGTACAGTACAATTACTTCTGGGTCTCTGTGTTTCATTCAAGCTCGGCTCTGTGTGTGTGTGGCACGAGCGCATTTTGTGAGTGCGGGAGCAGTAACGTGGAATGTTGTTGTTAGCATCTGGTTAGCTAGCTATGCTAACGGATATAAAGAGCTGTTTCTACACCAAGGTGGAGGAGAGTCCTCTCCTGTCAGACTGAGAGGATCTTATAACCTCAGCTCAGTGAGGTGAGGACTCTCTCAGTGTTTAGATAGTTCACTTTAGTGTAGGTTATCTCAGTGGGTCTCAAACGGTTTGGTCACCATTTATGTAAACAAGTATTTGCGAGGAACACCTTTATATGATCATTATAGTTATTAAAGAATAAGAGAATAAATGAAAACACAGACAATAACACAAGAATACAGTTTAAAAGGGGAGTGATTTGTAAAATATCCATAAAGAAAAAGTACATCTGTTTACAGTTCTGTTTCATATGGATGCTGAGAGATGTATCCATAGATCTCTTCATGTTGCTCTCTAAGTGCACCAGATTGATGCTTTTAACTTCAATATTTTTAAAAAAGTCTTCCCCCAGGACCCTCTAGAGGAGGTTAGGTCCACCCCCACCTAAAACATGTTCACATGGATACTAAATACATTTGCACACTTTTTATATGGTGGCCTATGTCCATATGTTTCTGTTTTGGTGGTTTTGCCACAACCGTGCACAAGTCATAGGTGCGCTATAAAGTAGCACTACACCCTGCAATGTGTGTGAAAACGAGAGACTTTACAGCATGTTTTTTTTTTTTTTAATTGAAGTTGCGTTGGTGTTTGTGTGTTGGTTGTTGACGGCAGTGTGTGCCCCCCCCCCCCCGTGGTAAATGATTGCCCCCCCCATTCGCTTTGTTCTAGAGCCGACCCTGAGTACATGACATGTCAGACTGGACCATTTGAAATTCTAAGTACAGGAACATTGGTGAAAGCCAATAAATCTGTTAAATCACTCGAACCTGCCACATATGAACAGATCTGATGAGTGGTTCTAGCATGCGACCCGTTTTGTGTATCCGTGATAGCTGATGAACATCCTGAATGCATTTCCTTCCTCATTAAATATGTTCTGCATTATTTGCATCCATGTTGTTTGTGGCCCAAGTATGCTCTCTGGGGTTTCCCTCTCCTGTAGTGTGTTCCATAGGTTTCTGTGCATGTAAATGGTCTGCAGAGGCTAAAATCCCTGTGTTCCCTGCAGAGGGAGATCTGTTCCTACACCCTTACCCATCCACCTTTTACTAATACCTTTTTACGGACAGTGAGACAGTGAAAGCACTTGGTGATGTGCACGGTGGAGACATGGATAGACTTACTAGTAGTGGTAGTAAAGCTGTCCAATTTTAGAAGCAACCTCTCCAATCTGCCATCTCTTCAAGCCATACCGGGTGTCCAGAACCTGCCTGTCAATAAATAAAAACAAACAACACTGAGCAGTGAGTGACAGTTATCACCCTATGTATCTTTTGGTGTATTTACTAAGAGACACATACTACAACATATTTAATAGAAATAGGAATATGGGGAACACCAGTCCTTACAACTGTGTGTAAACCCAGCTAGGGTTTCAAAGGACTTCATGAAACACCCAATATGTTTTACTTGGAAAATTGAAGTGATAAAATATGAAATGTGTTGGGAGTAACAGATTATATGCAACTGGATAATGTCATCAGAATACAAAAGAAAAAGGTATGTGTATTCAAAAACAGATTTAATCAGATGGTATATTCTTTAAAAATGGGGATTACTAGCAGGAATACAATGTTACAAAACATTTAACAACAAATAAAGATATATATATTAAAGGTAGACATACTGCCTGAATTTTATTTCTGGTTTTAATTTTGACTTTCATTCTTTTTTTACATTTAGTTTTTGAATGCAGTAAATAGACACCCTATTTATAAAAATAAAACTGTGTTAACTTTTAATTAAAGTTTTAAACTTAAAAAGCTATAGTATTCTGTAGGACTTGCAACTAGTAATTGTAACGAAATAAATAGTTATAGTATCCCTCCCAACCCTGAAGATGGAGTAACCTGTGCTGCTGCTGGAACTTCCACAGCTTAGTGTACACGTCAAAGGTCCGTCCGAAGTACGACTGCCACTGCTTGTGTCCATACTGAGGGAGGTCTCTGCAGCAAAGAGCACAATAAGGTTCAGAGGAGAGAACAGACGGTCACATACCCAACATGTTTAAATCCTCTCAGCTCCACAATCAGCCACTCTGCCATCAAAGGGACTCTCAGCGTTTGGGACACAGCTGTCAGCGGTGACTGTGCTTCAGCTGCTCTGTGTCTGGAGGCTGTTCAGGCTTTTTTACCACACCCTACTCATGATCAAAATAAATGATTTACCCAAGAGAATCCTTCCAGATACCTAGCTTAGATTCATTTACATTGATAGTTTGGAGAAGTTGAATTCTCATTTTGCCCATTGTAGAACTCAAGAACCAGTTCCCAGTTTCAAAAGCTATTCTTTGGTTGTTCACAAAGTCTGGCTCCCTCCTCGGATATTATGTGAGTGTTTCATTTTTTCAAAGGATGGATATGATACCAATGCCAATTCCTTGCCAGCCATGTTTTAGTCCCCCACCGCTTGAGTCTCATCAGCATCCTTTTAATACCTTTTATATTTAGAGAAGTAAATAGGATTTTAACTGTGCTGTTGAACCCTCAAGATAAAGACTGCCTCTTTAGCCTTACAACATCTCATAGAAAAAAATGACATTATTTAAGAATCAAAATAGATAGAGAAATTAAACTAAAAAAAACAATCATCAGAAGGAATTATGGAAACATTTAATTGTATTCATGATGAATTGTTATTATGAAATGTTTCAATGGCATGTCAATGAATCGGAGATGGCAGTGTATATAAGTAGGACAGTGGAGCACACAGTAATCATATCCAGGGCAGCAATGCACAGCTGATCATTGTTTCAATTCAATAATCACAAGAACAAATATAGTAAAAAAAGTAACAAGGAAACAAAAGTGGCATGGCTCCATTCGTCTCATTAATGTATAAATAAATAAATGCTATTCAAGAAACTGAAGTGCCACTAAAGAATAGATACAATTATTTGGGTAGATATTTAACATCACAAAATTAAAGAAATATATTTGTTCAACTGGCACAGTGAGTCAATGCTCGATTACAACATGCAGTCCAGCAGACAGGACACAACACAGGAAGTAGAAACTGACCTTAGCCCATTGAACAGTTGTTTAGACTTGTCCAGGAGATAGCAGAAATCTGTGACGGTCTTCCTTTCGCCTAATGGAATATCATCCTCATTCTCAGCCCCAGTCATGACACTGACTTTTCACACCTAAATTACAAACAAACACAAATACTGGATTTACAATGAAGAAAGATCCTGCATTAAAAAGATACAGGTTAGTAAGGTTTTTGTTTTTTAAATGGTAAGAAATATTGGAGTGCAGCACTTGGCAACTCAGCCAAAGTTCCATCACAAATGTGAACTACTTGTGATTCTTTAACGCATCAAGCTATAAGCCATTTTCAGGCGAGACGTTGCTGGTGCCCTAATTAAATATGAACAGAAATGAGAAACTATGGAGGAAATGCGTCACATGTTCACCTTTTTTAGGTTGTCTTGGGCTGTCCCAGATTCACTCTCACAGTAGCTGCAACCTCCACTCTGATAAGACTGGTGTTCAATCAGGTCAAGGCAGCACGCAGTCAGGTCACAATGTTCCACTAATGCAGGGCCTTTTGAAAAAATAGCTTATTCCGCCATGGAAATTAATGATGTTAGCTTCATGGATACTACCTTTGGGAGATGTGGCTGTCTTTTTAATATATGCCTCTATCTATCCATCAATCTATATACATGTGTATGTGTAGTATAGTATAGTTGACTTCTTACGCATTTACCTGCACATTGGTCACTTGCAACATTATCTTTCTGTACTTTTCTTCTTGCACAATTCTTTCATTGTTTTATTGTTTCTGTCTTATATATATATTTATGTTGCATTGTTGAAGGAGCCTGGGACTTCATATTATCATTGCCATAAATACACTGTAGCTACTGTGCATATGACAATAAACAGTGTGGCCTATGTATCTGAGTAACACACTGTTATTTGAGAACTGTCAACATTTGCTGATTTATTGTTTCATTAAGAATAGAAAAATATATATTTTTAGACATCTGAAAGATCTAATTCAGTTTACAGAAAGATTTTCTTACGTGAACATGAAAGGTCGTTAGGGCTATAATATGAGTGAGAGGAAGAGAACATAAAACACAGAGCTCTGAGCCCTCAGAGGCATGTCACTACAGACATGCATTACCAAGAGCACGATCAATCGAAAGCTGGTGCATAGTTTCTCAATGATTATCTTACGTTAGCTTACTTGGTTGTTATACAGGTATGTTGACAGCAATTAACTCGGTAACATTAACCTACATGACGTTAACTAGCTACCAATGACACCAGGCTGAATTGGGTCGTGAGCCTAACATACCCATTGCTCTGTATCTGACGGTAACCTGTTATCGTTGAGCCAGCCAGGAGACCACTCCATTAACGCCATGACAAAATACACACCTGGATTGGATATTAATGTGTGGATAAGAAAGATAACCAGCTGTAGCATATATGGGTCAGTTATAGAGGCAGGTCACAGGCTGGCTGCAGCCGCTAGCCCCTCCGCTTGTGTAATTCCCGTTCTCCTTACCTCCCGCCGGTGCTGCTGGAGAGGACCGCGGGATGGAGCTCAGCACTCAGTCACAAGCTGCCTCGAGCTCTGCAGGTGAAGCGCGCCTTTCTGGGCATCTCACTGTGTGGACCTGACACTGGACCACGGTACAACAAGCCGTACACCCCGCAGCGTGGCTGGCACCGCTGTCTGTTAATGTCTCTGTGAGAGAGGATGTAGTCCTGTGACAGGTGAGGAGCAGGAGGAGCAGGGGCAGCCGCGGGCTCCGTTCCACTATAACTGGCTAGCTACTTCCGGGTCAACATGTTACAATCAAAGTAAAGGTTACATCACGACAAGACTGACTAAAGTTAAACTTTGATGGCAGGGCAATAATACAGTATGAATATAAAAACTGAATCAAAATAGAATGTGTTTTTTAACTGAGCATCCCATAAATCGCTTTATTCATTCATACATTTTAAGCAAAATGATTCCTCCACTTCTTCTTCTTTTGTGTTTTACGGCAGCCGTCATCCGTTGTGTTGCACTGCTGCCCCTGCTGGAACTATCTCATCACTGAGTGCCACAGTGACGCGTCCTATAACTCGGAAGTAAACTCCTTCCGGTTCCTTCGACAAAAACCAATGCAATTTCTCCATAGGATTTGGGAAAATAGCTCGAAATAAGGTCTGTGGTTGACACACATTTAAGAGACGGATCACGTTTAGTTCATCCGGATAATATACACATGTCTACCCTACTTTTATAATTTTCGAATCATAAATCTAGTCGCCAGAGGCAAAATGCGAACGTTATGCTATAAACGAACTACAAACGAGTACAGCAGCAGGGTCGCACGACTTCAACGTCACGCCAATTTAAAATCGGCCCAATCCCAAACCACTCCCTCGACCCTACCCCTCCGTGACGAAGTGAACTCCGTCTGTAGCCACACTCGCAGCTCAACGAGGCTCCCTCCTGTCAGATGGAGGGAGTAAATACAGCAGCAAGCTTTGGGACGGCATCCCCTCTCTCCGGCAGAAACAGGAAATGCCGTAACTGTATGTAACAACGGTTTCAAATCAGCATCTCTTAGACAAAAAAATGTAAATTAATAACTCAAATAAAACTCCAAACATCTTTCATTGTGTTACTTTTTTGTAAAGCTCTTTTAGTTTTAAACCTGATGTTTATAAGCTTCTTAGTTTTTGCAACAGTCTGTAAATATACACAACTTTATAATAAAATGCACACATTTACCTTTTTCTAGATTAAACACGTATGATCCTAAGTTAAAAACATATGAGGCTATCATGAGGTTGTTAACATCGCAGTTTATGAGTGGATGTTTTCTGGAACTACTTGTTAACAGCTTGTTTCCTGACGGACACACACAGCGTGGAGACCGGTCAGGTAGAGACCGGTCTCAAGTCAGCACCGATGCAGACTCGCTGTTTGAGAGCTTGATAGCCCACTCCCCCTCCACACCGCTCCACACCATGCTCGTTGCTTTGGAACAGCCCTCAATATGGCGGACCCTCCGCGTGAACGCGCAAACGGAGGGGTAGGGTGTAGGGGGCGGTTTGGGAATGGGCCATCGTTTCAACTGACTTTCGCGCGCTTGCATATTTTAACAAAGCTTTTCCTTTTAGCCACACTGAATTTAACTAGAAGTTAAAGATGGCAGAAATTGCATTATTGTACTCAGGGGTGGAGTTTGACAAAGGATTACTCAAAAAGTACACAGTAAAAGTACTTAGTAGCCTACTGAGTTCAACAGTATCAATTTCACCTCATCAAATATAGCATATTTGTTCTCAGGAGGGGAGTTTGACAGAGAATAACTGAAAAAGAACACGTTTTTATTGTTGGTAGCAGTCAAACTAGTTCAACGGTGTCAGTTTTATTAAGAACTAATGGTAAAACATGTTTTTATCGAAAAATATAGCACAAAAACATGCATTATTTTACTCGTCAGTGCCGTTTCTCGGCGATTACCGTAAAGACGCTATTAATCGCGCACTCCAAAATGAAGAGCTAAATGCGAGAGACGGCTGAGTTGACCACAGTAAGTCATGGCTGTGTCAATTACCAGTCTGATATCATTTTACAAAGATGACAAGAAGAGTGTAGATAGAGGAGAGAACCACTACAAGTCAGGACACGTAAAACAGTGCAGCCTAGATGAAGGTGTGCTTACCGGTGTTGTCAGGGCTAACATGAGGGACAAGGTTTATAGAGTGTCGGTGAGTAGTGATAGCAAGAGTACCGTTAACCTAGAGTTCATGTATTCATATTAGTGACATTAATTCCCATCAACAAATCAATTTGATGTCACATGAAATCTTTATTACAAATATTACACACCAGAAAACACAGAAATATCCATGAAATAAACATACAATAGGTTATAAACAATTACAAGGGATAATTGGGAAGGCATTACAAATGTAAATATATATTTTAATTAATAAAACAATCCCACCACCACACAGGTATCTACAGGAGAAGAGGGAATTTAGGGAACACAACCTAAATAAAAGAAATAAAATGCACCCAGTTTAAAGACATAGTTTGAGTTTAACGATGAACTCAAAATGTAAAACAAAGTATGAAACATGTTTCTGGACATATGTGTTTACATGTGAAAGGACACAATTTTTCTGCCACCTCTTTTATGAGAGGACGTTGGAAGTTCACTAGTGCGCAACATACCTGCACCAGTTTATCTGAGAAGTGCCTCAGGTGAGATGGAATGAACTTTAGGATCCTAAATTCTTTCAAACGAGCATTTGCTCTCTCGACGTGAATCCTATTTTGTGCGATAAGCTTTGTAGCCTGTGCTTCGCTGTGTGTCAGTTGGCCATGACAGAGGAATGTTGACAGTGACTCCTTCAGGAACGATATTCTGGATTAAGAATCCCTTGTCAGCCAATATCAGATCTCCAGGTTTGAAATGCTGAATAACACCAGAATCCCGTACTATTTCTTGTGTGTTCTCGTCACTTGTTGGTATAGTTTGCTGTAGTATGTGAGGAGTAGTTTGAAGGAGTGCATGCCACGGTAAGCAGAGTAGGGTTGCGTTCCAATAGTCCATTAGTTTAGGAACCTTCCTAACGGAGTGAAATGACCCGGAAGTACGTCACTGGCAGCCATGATAAGTGTCGTTCCAATTCTCTAAATGAAAGGAAAGGAGGTTTCAAACTTCCTTTATAACCTCCTTTAGCTTAGAACCCACTGGACCTCCCTAATCGAAAGGAGAGGAGAAAATGCTGCCCCACAATGCATTGCAGCCGCAGCATTTGCCGTCACTCAACAGTCGGCCGTTCACGGAAACAACCGATTATGACCGAGAAATGATATCGTGAAAGTTACGGTACTTATTAAGCATTTTAAAACGTATGTGGTAAGTTGCCAAAGTGCTTTTTTCTGAATGTTCATCAGTATTATAATCAAAAAGAGAAATATGAACGTTAGTTTTTACTGAAATGATCAAATAAAGTCAACATTTCACAGTCTTCACTGAGCTGTGTGGGGTTTGTTCAACTTTTAAAAGATGTTTGAATGGTGATATACACAGTGATAGATGTTAAGGACTAACGTTTATAATACATACATTTGCATTGATTTTAAGATATTTTCATACAATCATACGTATTGGGATCATTTGTATTAATGTGGACCGGAGGGAGAGGGTGACGAGCATAAGTTTCACTTTCCTTTTTTATTTCAATTCCAACTTTGGTCATGAAGAATATGTTTCTCTGTTGTCTACGTTCATAAAGCATAAAGCAACAGCATCAGAGCACGGTGGAGAGTCTCTAGATGAGTTTACAGTAGTCCCTCGTTCTTATTAAACATCCATGTTGTAGTCCTCTGTATAGAAAACTGTAGTTTCCATAGTTCCCCCACAGCAGCAGACGCACATTCATGACGTCCGCTGGCGCATCATAAACACCTCAGATAGTGAAAGTGCATTCGGATTCTCTAAAGTACTACCGCAGTCTCTTCTCCTAAATCCTTTTGAATTCTCCTATCCACTATCCCTTAACGTTTCACTCAGAGGTCAAGGAATAGGAGATAGGGTTAGAATTTAGGAGCTGATTTTTGGATTATCGGAATGCAACCTAGGTCTCTTTCTGGATATCCATTTGCTTGGGGATAGCAATTTTGATGTCCATACAATCTACTATCATTCTGCAGTTTTGGATGTGCCGAAATGAAGAAGGAAAGTTGGTTTTATTTTTCTCCCGGGGTCCTTCTCACTTCGGTTAAATGGATTCCTTGCGTCCCTCACTTGCGTCGTTTCCCTGCGACTATTCCCTCCCACCAGGGAAGCATGGAGGGATGCAAGGAAACCACGAGAAGCAGGGAAATGAGTTTTAAGAGCAATGGGACGTCCTTTCCTCCGGAGCGTCACGTGAAGCGACGTCCGTTTGTGATGACGCTGCACAGCTGATCGTCTGACAGCAGCTCTGTCCCCGTTGTTTTCACACACACCCCCGCCTCTGTTAGTACACATTTACTGACACAAACATTTGTATCATCTGTTGTAGACCCCAATAAATAAAATCAAATAAGAACTCATTCTCAAAAAAGATAAACGACATTCTTAAAATGTATAAACGAACAATAGTTTGATTAATATTGATTAGAGTGCACAATAGAAATAAAATAATTGAGAATAGAAAAAGAGATATGTTATCTATCAAAACCCAGATTAACATTCATTGGATTGCATACTTTGTTTGTTTGTTTGTGTGGATATGTAGCAAATTAACATTTTAATAGCACTTAATGACTGACTGAATGGAAATGACAATAAATGAAAATGTAAAACGAAAAAAGCGATCATGAAAATGTTTCCAATAAATGAATAAAATGATTTTTGACCACTTTGTTGTTCAGATATATCACATATTTGTAACTAAATGAAACATTAATTGAAACAAAACACGGTATAAACTGAGGAGTGACTCTCGTGAGTTTCATGTATTTTCTTCACTCCGCTGGGAAACTGTTCTCATGTCAAGAAGCATCAGATCAGTGCATGCACTGCCTCGTCCAATCAGTGAGCGATACACAGTAAGGGGGCGGGGCGAGTGTCTGAGGATTTCATCGAAGGATGGTCTGGTGGTTCCTCGCTTATAGCTCCTCCATTATCGCTCCTCGGTCCTCCGGCAAAAATAAGGCCATTGGGACGCTACTCAAGATGGCGCAGACAAATCAACTTCCGGTGAGACCAAGACCGAGGAGCGAGGAAATGAAAAATAAGAGAAGTGAGAAGGGGCCCCGGTGTAGGTACCATATGGGTCCTTCTCACTTCGGTTAAATGGTTTCCTTGCGTCCCTCACTTGCGTTGTTTCCCTGCGACTAGTCCCTCCCACAAGGGAAGGAGAGACGCAAGGAAACCACAAGAAGCAGGGAAATGAGTTTTAAGAGCAATGGGACGTCCTTTCCTCCGGAGCGTCACGTGAAGCGAT